TATCAAAGCATGAATGATGCAGCAGGATGCCCAACTATAGTTACATGCTTGGCCGAAATTATATACACATGCTAACACATGCTATGTTAGGTGTACACAGGGTTTGGGGTAGCTAAAGGTAATTCCTATTAATTTTTGATGTGTAATTCATATTCCCCTTAATCAGAATGTTAATACTGTTGTATTAGTTATTAAAAGTAGATTCTATGTCTTTAATTTTACTTTGTAAGCATTATGTGGAATTATATGGGTAACATTTTTCATGTTTTGTTTTCTTCTTTCTTCTTCCTTCACCTCTTCTTTCTTCCTCCCCTCCCCTTTTCCTCCCCTTTTTTCTTCCTATTTGAAGAAAATCCAGAAAATCCAATCCTTAAATCAACTGGTTGATGAAGGTGGCAAAGCAAAGACAGCTGGAAATAATGTGATTGGTGGACAAAAGCTAAAGCTTTTTAAAAAGGTTTTGTTGTTGTTTAAGTGAATGAAAAGAAACATGGCGGCAACTGTGTTAAACTTTCCATATTTGACATTAGATTCCCTAGGAGGTATAACATATATTTCTCGGATAATAATGTGGTTACAGAATTCCAATGTTAGAGCAAAGTATAACAACTTGTTGAAAAACAACTTTAGGTATGTGCTTTAGCTACTGCTGCAGAAGAGGCAAATCTGCCTTTACTTGTGCAGGAAACAGCTGTTTAATTGTTCTAGAGTTTTAGCATTTAAAATCTATATGAAAGTCCAAATCCGCTGAAATTGCCCTAGCTAGCTAATTGCTTGGAGGGGCCGTTAGGAGGTTAAAATAAATAAATAAATAAATAATGCATTTCTCATAACTCTACAACTGAAAAGGGTATGAGTGGCTGTCTGCAGTTTCATCAGTCCTATGATTAGAGTGACAATATGTTGTACCTGGACATTCTCAAATTTAAATTTGGCAGTGAAAATTCTACAACGATTTCTGATAACCTTGAGCTATTAATACCTTAAAAATAATAGGTTGATGATTTCCTTTATTTCCTAGAAGGATTTATTTTATAAAGACTTCGTTTACACGTTAGGTTGTATCGGTCCTTACTTAATTTAAAATGATGAATCTAGTTTGAATCAGCTGTTATTCCAAGCTATCATGCTTAAGCTACGTCAACAGCATTTATTTGTACTAATGCCAATATTTCCATCAAACTTTGCCTGTGGAACATATACACTTCTTAATTTTAAAATGTCAGTTCTTGAGATATACTGTATGAAGCTATTGTCAGCTTCTCTATTTCAAAATACAATCAGCATATAACTATACTGATATTAGAAAATATTTGTTTTTTAAAATATATTGATGTATGATAAAGATGATCTAATTTGTGAATGCATATGTGTGTGTGGTTACTTTTTATAATGTGAAATAATGAATAATGAATTTACTCAAAATAAAACATAGGTTAATGACAATACCTGTGTTTGTGAAGAAAGTTGTAAATAGCTTCCTGCAGTTTTTATTCTATAATTCAAGAGTAAGATAGTTTATTTTTAAGTAATAAATAAGAGAAACATACCAATGTCAGCTCTAAATTACTCAGGGGACAGTTACTAAATGTAAGTCTTTTTTTAAATAATATTGTTTTATTTTATTTTTTATACATTCAATCACATTATTTAACTTACAAAGTGAACCTTTCAATATGTGAACATTTCTTTCCAATGTAGTTGATCAAAATATCTTCAACCGATAACACATTACCTCCTCATCCCATCAATGCCCTGTCTCTGTATCCCTCCTCCAAATGTTCTTTCCCAGGCCCCACTCCTCCACGCACACCACATCTGGTATTCACACCCATCTCTTGTGTTTGTACATCCTTTAGTCAGTCAGTTTCGGTCATAGAGTGTGGACACTTGGTATATATTAAGTGGGGACATACAATGTCTCTCCTTCATAGCCTGGCTTGCCTCACTCAGCAGTAAATCTTCCATATTCTTCCATTTTCTGTCAAAAGACAGGGTTTTGTTGTTTGTTTCATGGCTGAATAGTATTCCATAGAGTTTATATGCCACAGTTTTCCAATCCATTCATCTATACGGGGGCATTTGAGTTGGTTCCATGTCTTAGCAATCGTGAATAGTGCTGCAATAAACATCGATGCACAAGCACTTTTCCAATGAAGAATTCTTCAGTCCTTTGGGTAGATACCAAGGAGTAGGATTGCAGGATCATATGGTAGTTCTATTTGTAGATTTTTGAGGAGTCTCCAAATTGTTCTCCACAGTGGCTGGACCAATTTACATTCCCACTAGCAGTATAAGAGAGTTCCCCTTTCTTTCTTTTCTTTTTTTTTTTTTTAAAGAATTATTTATTTATTTAAATTTGTTATTGTTATTTTTTTCTTTATTTGATGAGAGACAGAGAGAGAGAGAGAGAGAGAGGGAAAGTGAGAAAGCAAGCCACCAGGTCCAGGACTTGAACCAGGGTTGGCCATGTGGGAATCCAGCGCCCTTATCCATCACACCACCTGCTGGCCCCGAGAGTTCCCCTTTCACCACACCCCCGCCAACACTTATTATTATTTTTTTAATCTTAGACATTCTGACTGAGGTTAAGTGGTATCTCATTGTTGTTTTGATCTGCATTTCTCTTACAATGAGGGATGTTGAACATTTTTTCATATGCCTTTTGGCTATTTGTATGTCATCTTTAGAGAGTGGTTTTTTCAGCTCATTCTCCCAATTTTTTAATAGGGCCGATCATCTTTTTTTCAAATAGCTGCTTGAGTTCCTTGTGAATTCTGGTTATCAGTTCCTTATCTGATGCATAATTTACAAAAATATTTTCCTATTCTGAGGGCTGTCAATTCACACTAATTACTGTGTCTTTTCCCATGCAGAAACTTCTTAGTCTGACGTAATCCCACTTGTCTATTTTGGGGATAATGGACTGTGCTTTGGGGCTCTTATTTA